GCGGAGGGATGGAGCCTGCCACCTCGGACTCTTTCCCTCCCTGAGGCCCGGACCTGACTAGACCTTCCGCTTCTGTTACGCTTCCCTGTCCTTCCTGACAGGTCCTGGGCTCCCGAGCAGGGGTACCTCAGATCGGGGGCAAGGCTCAGAAGACAGGGGAAAAGACCAGGAAGGGCTGGCATTTAAGGTGGCTTCCAGCTGTTAGTTCTGCCAGCAGAAATGCCAGCCAGAGAGCTAAGCTGCCAGCCCAAGACACTCGGGTGGGACTTGGGAGGCCGCTAAGAGCAGGGGCTGCGAAGCGGTTGTAGCAAGGAGATATTGAATGAGTCCATCACGTCTCCCAGACCGCTGTTCCTGTGCGGAGGTGGCTCTTTCTGCTCCCCAGCCCTCCCCCATGTACCTGGGGAGGGCTTGCCCCTGCTCTGCCCCTTGGGATGTGTGGACAGTGACCTGGCGGCACATCGGCACATCCCAGGTCACCGGCCCTCTCTGGTGCTGCCAAGCCAGTGGATCCTGTGTGGACATTGGACGGGGCACAGTGAGGAGCTATCTCCTTGGTCCCTTCAGCAGCTGTGAGGGCTGAGGGTCAGGAACACACACACACACACACACACACACACACACACACACACACACACGTGTGTTGGAGGAGGTGGTCCTCGGGGGCCTTATACTCCTCTTGCTCTAGACCCCATCACCCCACCTTCCCGAAGAAGAGAGGCGCTCTTTCTCCTGTGACAAACCCCAGACACCAGGCTGGGGGCAGGCGGGAAGTCTGGAGGGAGAATGAGCCGCCATGCCTGCAAAGGCCTTGTCAGCTGGTCTAGCTCTCCCTCCCTATTCCCCAAGGACCCAGGCAGCATTGGTGCCCTCAACTCCCTGCCCCATCGCCCCATCCACAGAGGGAGGTGGGCAGTCCCATCAGCAGCCTGGAGGGGAGGAGAAGCAAAGGGTCATCCCCAATGAGCACTTCTGTCTGGGAGAGGGCAGGGAGGGCCTTCTCTCCTGGGAGTTCGGGCATTCCTTCAGCCAAGGAGCACCCCAGCTCCCTGGCAGTGCGTGCCTGGTGCAGCTGGGTCCGCTCTGGTCAGGAAGGGCAGATGGTCCTATTCAGGGACTCCGGCGTGGGGCAGACTCAAGCTGGGTAAAGCCAGCACCTAGCTTCAGCAGGGGACTTAGAGACAGGGTGAGGGTGTCCCTTCTGTCCTTCACACCCACTGCCATGTGGAGGTGCCCATGCTCTGGTCACCCATAAGACGGGGCATTTCCCACAGCTGAGTCTCACAGAACTCACCCTTCCTGGGTGGTGGGCTGAGTTGGCACATGGAAGCAAATTACCAATGCCCTTCCCCACCAACTGACCGGCCCCAGAGACTTGACCCCACATGGAGCCAGTCAGTACGGAGTTAAGAGAACAGACTTTGAGGTCAGGGACTGTTGGGTTCAAATCCTGGTGCCACTACAGAGTAGCTGTGAGACCTCACTTCTCTGACCCTCCGGAGGCCCCACTCTAAAAGGAGGTTCGGACTAGTGCTTCCCTCCAGGGGTGTGGGAAGACTAAGCCAGATCATATGGGTAAATGGCCCTGCATGGAGCCTGGCCCACAGGAAGCATGTACTAATTGGCAGGCATTGTTGTCACTGTCCTTTGAGGAGGGCAGAGTCATCCAAAGGGTGGAGCCCTGGGAGCCATAAGGGAGCTTGTCAGCAGGCCTCCCTATCCAAGAAGCTTTTCAAGTCAA